AATGCACTTTTCTTTATTTAACAGTGAACACAAAGTCCAAATTGGGATGCAGCTTCCTCTTGAACGGTATTTTTCTATCCATCATTGTTGCGCTCTCCATGCACTCTTTTCTTCTCATGCTTTCCTTCCTGTCACCATCCCGATCAGGAGCCAGATGTAGCCATCTTGTGATTGTGACATCAATTTCCTGGTCTGAGGCCCAAGACGTTAAGGTGTTAGGTCTCACAGCGGCTGGTAGAACTGTAAGAAAACAAGAATGGATAGTGTGTTCGGAAAACAAACATTTCTACATGTCATGAACAATGAATGGTCAGTAAAAATAACCCTTGAAATATCTTATAATAATAAGAATGGCTCATGAAAGATGTGGCTTAGTTGAGGTTGAATTAAGGCTGATATCAGGAACCTGTTCTGGCCCGGCGTCGGGCCGGAGTAGGGCCGGATATGGTTATACAATGCGGCTCAGATCCGGGCCGAATGCGGGCCGGCTCATGGAGTTAGGTCTCACAGCGGCTGTTAGAACTGTAAGAAAACAAGAATGGATAGTGTGTTCGGAAAACAAACATTTCTACATGTCATGAACAATGAATGGTCAGTAAAAATAACCCTTGAAATATCTTATAATAATAAGAATGGCTCATGAAAGATGTGGCTTAGTTGAGGTTGAATTAAGGCTGATATCAGGAACCTGTTCTGGCCCGGCGTCGGGCCGGAGTAGGGCCGGATATGGTTATACAATGCGGCTCAGATCCGGGCCGAATGCGGCCCGGATCATGGATGCCAGACCCGGGCCACTGCAGGACCGTCATTCATTGCGGTATGTGGGCCGAGTGTCGTGCCGTGTCCGCGCCAGAGCTGGGCCAGACCAATTTTGCTGACTGGGCAGCTGTGCCGGCTTCATGCCGAATCCGGGCCAGATGCCTTTGCTGACTGGGATGAGCTGGACGTATAGACATCCATAATAATTCATGATATTTCATAAATCATAAAGCTGGTGTATTTCGATGCATTTCCCGAAATGTTGGTATTTTTCTCTTCAGTGCCGTGGAGCCAGTTGTTTGCGAAGTACATTTTTTGGTGAGTGTTCGTAGAAAGGGTTGTTGAGTGTCGACACCTTTACACTAGCTGATGGCGCCAAAGCCCAACTAATAATTTTGCCAGCAAACCGCTGACTGCAGCTTCGATCGAGCTTGAAGGCGACTGCCGGGATTGAACGCCGCGTGCCGCTCACCGCGCGCGCGGATGCGCATGCACGCGCGTATACCCCCGACAGGCAACGCACCGTTACCGGCGCACGCACGCAAGTTCAAGTTCACGACACTTGATCTTGCAAAAACAGCAAAGCGCACGCGCGACAACTCCCATGCATTGCTTTTGTGGTAAAGGCTGTCATGATTTTACTTTGAAAGCATCCGGTAGCTTTTACTTTGAAAGCACTTAACAGGATGTACGCTGGCCCAAATGTCGTTAGTTTATCAGGCCGAGAGAGACGTGTGTGCGGCCGGCTACTGCGCGAGCTATGTCGATAATAAACGTTTGCTTGCTCGAAGTCGACTGGATCTTATCTCCCCACTTTACGATCACTTTGCAGAAGCCTTCGATCGGTACCGAATGGCAGGAGTTTGTGGACAGCAATGCTAAGATATGTTTTGCGGTCTCGTGATAGTGTGCGCCGGCGCTCACCTCGCTGCTGCAAAATCAAGCGTCCGGAGGGGGGGGGCGGGGCTCGGCTGGTCTGCTCGGCCTCGCCGCCGATCGGTTCACGCGAGCCGGGGGTGCGGATGCACAGGCCCGTGGGCCGGAGGAGCCGTCCTCACGAGCGCTAGCGCTTGGCCGGCGGGCGCCTTCCGAAAACGGGTCCCGTCACGGACCCGGGGTAGGATGAAGTCTATCCTACGATCAGATTATGTAATTAAAATATATAGACGATTATAGATTGCAATATGTTGTCAAATATAAAGACAGACTATTATTAAGGTCTGCCTCGTAACTCTCGAATGAACACCCCTCCTTCCGGTAACGACCACCCTTCCTGCTTTTCTTCGCCAATCAGATGTAACCAACGTAAGAGTATTTCAGAAAGTATTAAACAGAATATAATTTAGGGAACTGTAACATAAAAGAATATAATGCTCAAATATAAAATGATAATAATTAACAATTTAACAAAAGCTTACACTAGCTTGTACTTGTACCTTCTTTCGCTGACGCCAGTCAACTTCAACATAATCTTACTTGACCACATTTAATTTGTGTGTGCGCACTAGCGAGCGTGCACCAGAATTAGTATGTGCTCGTGCAAATGTGTGTGTGTGTGTGTGTGTGTGTGTGTGTCTGTGTGTGTGTGTGCGTGCGTGTGTGTGTGTGTGTGCGTGCGTGTGTGTGTGTGTGTGCGTGCGTGTGTGTGTGTGTGTGCGTGCGTGTGTGTGTGTGTGTGCGTGCGTGTGTGTGTGTGTGTGCGTGCGTGTGTGTGTGTGTGTGCGTGCGTGTGTGTGTGTGTGTGCGTGCGTGTGTGTGTGTGTGTGCGTGCGTGTGTGTGTGTGTGTGCGTGCGTGTGTGTGTGTGTGTGCGTGCGTGTGTGTGTGTGTGTGCGTGCGTGTGTGTGTGTGTGTGCGTGCGTGTGTGTGTGTGTGTGCGTGCGTGTGTGTGTGTGTGTGCGTGCGTGTGTGTGTGTGTGTGCGTGCGTGTGTGTGTGTGTGTGCGTGCGTGTGTGTGTGTGTGTGCGTGCGTGTGTGTGTGTGTGTGCGTGCGTGTGTGTGTGTGTGTGCGTGCGTGTGTGTGTGTGTGTGTGTGTGTGTGCGTGTGTGATGAATGGAATTCCGCATAGGTCTGCAATTCTAAAACAAGGCTGTGTGTAGAAAAAAATAATCTGAAACTGCATTTAAGGGTGACTCAATACTGGCTAGCCTTAATTGGGCCGGAGTTGTAAATTGATTTCTGGCCCAAATACTTCACTCCACAACTGGACCACATCTGGTTTGCCAGAGTCAAGCCAGTGCCTCCTTTGCCACGCCTGGGCTGTGTTCGGCCCACATGCGTTATGCCAGTGTTGACACAAGGCCAGTTGTGCCAGCTTCATGCCGAATGCGGGCCAGATGCCTTTGATGACTGAGTAGTTACAGATAACGAAAATTAAAACTTTGATGGCAAATTTCCTCTTGTGTCACCGCAGTCATGGCTTCAAACAATCCGAATGCAGTCGAAGAGGAGACAGAGGAGGTAAACATCCGCGTGGTCGTCAGATGCAGGTAATCTCCGTCGTTCTTGTTGTTTTGCTTTCCCCCCCCAATTATCAATCATCAGGTCATCCTCGTCGTTACTCATGAGCGTCCATCATTCCGCATTCGGTCGAGTCTCCGGCAAGTTGAAAACAATGTCCGGATCGGGAGGCGGCAACCCGCGGCTCCGGAGCCGCGCGTGGCTCTTTAGCGCCGCCCTCGTGGCTCCCTGCAGCTTTTAAAAAATGTTTGAAGGTAGGCGAGAATAAGCTGGCAAAGAACGGCAAACCGAAGGACCCAAAGAAGCATTTTAAAACGGGACACGTCAGCTACGAAAGTTAACGCGCTGCAAAAGTGCGCCCCGTGCCTCGTTCGTTTCCGGGGCACTTCTGGCTGTCGCTCATTATGGCGGCGTGCGTGTGTAGGTTCCCTTAAACCAGGAAGGCTCATCGTGTATCGGGAGCCAACCTGAGTCATTTGGAGAGGCGATGCGAAGATCGTCTCAAATCGGTGAATGCAGCGTGCGCCAAAGTGGCTCTTTCAACATTTTGGCTTGCTGACCCCTGACCCCTGCTCTCGATCCGTGCGCTCATATTTGAGGTTGAACGATGCAGAGATGGAAGGTCATTGAAAATGTTTGCGTGCGTCTTGTTCCCCTGGCAGCCCTCGCAAAACAGTGATGCCCAACGCGTCATCAAGTCACAGGATTGTGTTCAACACACAATTGAAGCAAGTCATTGTGCCGAGAGTGTATAATTTGCGGGCACCGCTTCAGCCATACACGTTCGATGAGGTCAGTTGACTCGCAATCTCCTCCGCGGCATCGTTCTGCTGGATGAACCTTTTTGTTGATGTTGTCGGCATCCCGCAGGTGTTGGCACCCGGCACCACCCAGTTGGACGTCTACAACGGGATTGTGCCCCCCATCCTGGAGGATGTCCTGAATGGATTCAAGTGCACCATCATCGCGTCAGTACTCGCGCACACACACACACACACACAAGGCACCCGCCGACAGCCGTCTACTCGGGCGCCATCTTGGACTGGAACGATGAGTGGAAATTGCAAACTCCTCCCTAATTTGTCGACGCGTCGAATCGTGGCGAGACTTTGCAAATTGCCGGAGGGGCTGAACATTGTTGTTGGTGAATGCGTTGCAGTTACGGGCCCATGGGAACGGGCAAGACGTTCACCATGGTGGGAGCGTGGCGTCTGGATGAGAGCTTCACCTGGAACGAGGCGAGTTTCATTCTCTCATCGGGCGACGGCCCCCCGCAAACGTTTCCCGACCGCTCGGCTCTCGTTACGCTCGCAGGACTCGAGGACGGGCATCATCCCCAGAGTCATCCACCACATTTTTGAGAGGCTGTCTGGCGAAGACTTCTCCATCAAATTGTCGCTGCGCGAGATAAACCACAAGAAGACGGTGGACCTGCTCAGAGCTCGCCGGCGGGCTCAGCTCAGACGTCTCATCGGCGGCACGAGCCGGCGGGGCCAGCTCAGAGGTCTCATCGGCCACACGAGCCGGCGGGGCCAGCTCAGACGTCTCACCGGCCGCACCACATTTTTGAGAGGCTGTCTGGCGAAGACTTCTCCATCAAATTGTCGCTGCGCGAGATAAACCACAAGAAGACGGTGGACCTGCTCAGAGCTCGCCGGCGGGCTCAGCTCAGACGTCTCATCGGCGGCACGAGCCGGCGGGGCCAGCTCAGAGGTCTCA